GTGAAGCAGGAGACTTACTTTCACCTCTAACGTGTGCTGAAGCTTGTAGCGCATCATTTCTTGTTCCTGCCGCTGGATGATGCACTGGCACTCCGCAAACTGTAGAGACGCCTGGATGAAATGGGGAGTGAGTTATTTACCATTGGCACGTGATGTGGATTTTGCATCCAGTAGCATTCAAGACATGCAAGCAGTTTCCAGTTATCAAGAACAGTTTTTGAGAAAACAAGGCAACCTTGGCTCTTTTATGACTTGTGGACTTCAACTCCCAGAATTCCTGAGCCAGCCACGCTGAGGGGAAAGGGAGAGGTTTCCAAGCGGAGCCATGCTGGCTCAGGAATTCTGGGAGTTGAAGTCCATGAGTCATAAAAGAGCCAAGGTTGCCTACCCCTGTCCTAGGTTGTGCCATGCGCTTATGGAGTGGTTGTTTTGTTTGCCCAATGTGTAGATCTGCACATGGCTCCCTGCAGTGTTCCATGGGTAATTGTATGGTTTTCAACACGATGTGCTCAACCTGACTTCTCTTAGGGCAATTCCTGGGAAGAAGAATTACACTTGGTTCTCGACAGGAACCACAATTGTGTCCAAATTTTCTGTTGCTAAGCGAGACAGTTGCTAAGTGAGCTTTGTTTTGCCCCATTTTACGACCTTCCTCGGCACGGTTGTTAAGTGAATCCCTGCAGCTGTTAAGTCAGTACCATGGTTGTTAAATGAATCTGGCTTCCTCATTGACTTTGCTTGTCAGAAGGTCACCAAAAGGTGATAACAGGACCATTAGGACACTGCAACCGTCATAAACACGAGTCAGTTGCCAAACATCTAAATTTTAATCACTTGACCATGAGGGACGCTGCAATGGTCGTAAGTGTGAAAAATGGTCATAAGCAGTGCTTTTTTTTGTCATAGAACTCGCTGAAATGGAATTCTGGCACCTTTTTTTGACAGGTTTTCCAAGTTTTAAAAATAACTTTTGAAAATTTGATGTTTGGTCCACATGGACTTGAATCGCCCTGTGGAGTGTAGCAGGTCGGCAGCAAAATCATTAAAACGGTGCATGCGGGCTGCTTGTGTGTCAAGTCAAGTCCAATGCATACGTACTTCGTCCAGCTGCTCGGCTTGGGGCACTGCTCGGCTTGTGATTGGTCATGTGGTCGCGCGCTGAGTGCTTACTGTGGGCGATGACCATTATGTTTTGTTACACAACTGACATGTGTGGGTGTGTGTACAGTGATTGACTAAGTGCGAAAGGTAAATAAAAGATTAACAAGATGTGAGTTCCGGCACCTTTTTTTCTTATAGAAAAAGCACTGGTCATAAGTAACTTTTTTCAGTGCCCTTTGAATTTCAAATAGTCAGTAAACAAATGCTTGTAAGTCGAGGGCTACGTGTAGAGAGGTTAAGGAAACCTACTTTATCTAGAGCAGCTTCCATCGTCAGAAGTTTATCTTTTAAACGTTTATCCTGGGACTTCAGGATTTCTAATTCTCCAGCCAATTTGTTGTTCAAAGCAGCCATGCAGCTCAGCTCTTGACTTAATCGGATCCTCTCCTCTTTCAAGTAATGTTTTTCCTGTATAGGCAAGAGAGAGAGAAAAAAATAACACAACAAGGTTGCAGAATCTTGAACAAGGAACAACAACTACCACACCGCTTTTGATTTCAAAAGATGAAGTATCGCAACGAATGTCCACAAAAAAGTCAAGAGGTTCCCACAGACGTGCGACCGAAGATCCACCTGTTTTTGATGTGTGTGGTGCCCATTTTAATTATTATTATTTTTTATCTATACCTTGCAAACACCCCTGATCTTGAGGGACTTCGATCACGTTGTGATGGAACGGGCACTTGACTTTTTCTATATGGGAATTTAGGGAAACTGTCTTTGTGTTTCGTGACTGAAAGCTACTTTCAGAGACGAAATATGTTAAGGTGGTGTTTCTTAAAAAAAATTGCTCCAATTATCCTTTTTCACATCATGCCATTACCCCCCCCCCCCACTAAAAATAGCCAGACTCTGTAGTTTTATACAAACATCTCAGTAGGAGCAGCTCCAAACTGGATCTTTGCATCACAAATGGACAGTTACAAATTGCTCCATTAATCCCAAAATATTTATTTGGTTTTATCTTGCCTTTATTATTTGTATAAATAAGGCAGCAAACATACCTTATGCTGCTCCTCCTCTTCTTTCCCCACAACAATAAACCTGTGAGATGGGTTAGGCTGAGAGAGAGGCTTTCATGCCTAAGGTGGGACTAGAACTCACTGTCTCCTGGTGATTGGCCCAAAGTCAACCAGTTGGCTTTCATGCTTAAGGTGGGACTAGAACTCACTGTCTCCTGGTGATTGGCCCAAAGTCAACCAGTTGGCTTTCATGCTTAAGGTGGGACTAGAACTCACTGTCTCCTGGTGATTGGCCCAAAGTCAACCAGTTGGCTTTCATG